CTAAAAATAACTATTCAATAGAAATACTAATAAATATAATCCAATAATAATTAATATATTTCTTATCCAATAAGATTGTTCATCAAATATTATATCATAACAATATGCATTGTATTTATTAGTCTTTGTTTATTTTCTTGTTCATTATTAATTAATAATTTTTCTAATATATTTTTGTTAACTAATAATGATGTTGATTATTATGATATTGATATTATATTTTTGTATAAAAGACTTTTTGGTTTTTGATACACTCTCATCTTTCAAAAATATATTTAAAAGTTTAAATGTTCAAGTAGGTATTTTGTTTTTTACATTATTGATTATTTTAATTATTATTATTTCAGTTATAATTATTTTAATTATAATTATTTCTATTAGAATTATCAATTCTTTTGAATTGATAATTTTTTTTGAAGTAACCAAGTTTTTCACAATTATAATATTCTACTAGATATTTATCATTATTGATATTGTTGTTATTATTATTTCTTCTATAATTACTTTAAGTATTACTAGAATTATTGGAATTGGAATTTCTTTTTTTAATTGAATTTTTAGTTCTTCCAGCTATTTGATCAGTTTGTTAACTTCATTTTCAATTTGTACTTGTGATAAGAATGGAATAATCATAAGACTTGATGCAGTTGGTATACTATATTGAGATATAATATTTATTATTGGAAATTTGCGTTGTGAAGTTGAGCTGTATTAATAGCATCTTTCAAAGTTATAGATCATGTTGAATTAATAAAGAAGTAGATTTCTGGTCTGAGTCCATCTATAAATTGTGATACTTGTAGATAAACTAAATAATTGTTATTAGAATCTATTCAACATAAGAGTTCTCTTATAGTAGTAATGAATTATTCTATACTTCTACCAAATAATTATTTTCTTTCTTTCAGTTGTTTTTGCTATTTATAAACTCTATCTTGAGTTCTAAATTGCAATTTGAATTAGTGTATAAGTAAAGCAAGTAAGCTATTAGCATTTTGATTAGCTGAACTTTTGTTGGTGAGCCAAGTGATAGCAACTTCTTTCAAGTAAGCTTCAACTATTTATATTTTTCTATTATTACTAATTGCATTAGCTTGACATGCATTTTCAAAGTCTTGCAACTATCTAATCAGATCTTGAATATCTCTATAGAAATCAATTATCTTTGCATATTTGATTTCTTTATTGCTTTATTCTATAGCAAGTACTAAGATATTCAATTCAGTAATTAAGTTTTCAAATTGTTCTATAATTTTATCTACCATTTCATCTATTATTTTGTTGTTTTTTTTTTGGTTAATTTTCTTCTTGATTTATTTCTTTTAGAAATTCTTCTTGTTGAATTTCTTTATCTTTCAATTCTTGTTATGTTTCTTGAGTTAGAATAATTACTGGTATTCTTTTTTTTTGTTTAGTATTAGAAGATAATACTAGTTGCTAACTGGTTGATTTGATTACTTGATTAAAATATCTTGAAATGATATCAATTTTGTTGAAGTTAAAATTTTTGACAGTTTTAATAAACTTTCTATATTCTTCTTCAGTAGATAATTCTTTTGAGCTGGAAATTTCTACTATTATTCTTCTTTGTTGTTCTATCTTTTTCAAGTGTTTTTTTTTGTTGATGGAATTGGTTAATATCTTGTTGAATTTGATATAAGAAAGTTTGAACTTCTGATTCAGATAATTCAATTTCTACTTTTAATAATTCTGCAAATGCTTCTCTTGCTGTAGTTAATATATTTTCATGAATTATTTCTCTATGAAATGCTTTAAAGTTATCAAAAATAACTTTGAAATTTTTATTAGAATATTATTTTACTGTTAATACTCCAGTAACTATCTCTTGAAATAATCTTCTAACTTTAATATCAATTGGTTTTGTGGAATTCAGATTAAAAAAGATTTGTTTTATTAATATTTTGTTTTGTTCTTTCATAGAGGATTCTTAATTCAAATTTGATTTTCTTTGGTGCAATACTTTATTCACAGAGGATTCTTTGTTCAAATATGATTTTAATAATATTAAGTTATCTTTTTCAAGAGAGAGCACCAAAATCTATTACTGTTTTTATAGATATTGAGTTCTTGACATGTTAGTCATGTGTTTCTACTAAATAAAAGGTGAAAGAGACTAAGTTTTTATAGTAGAAGTAACTAAAAACTATTACTAAAGATAAGTAATATGTGTTCTTTTTGTGATGAACTAGAATGATATTCAATAACTTCACTAAACTTTACTAAGTTTCTTTATAATTTAAAAGATAATAATTCAAGATAATAAGTCTTCCAAGTGACTGTCTTTCAAGTCAAATATAATAATTGGTCATTCAATAATGATCTATCTTTTAAGATCAAAACCAATATCAAATATAATTTAACAAATTATTTTTATTAAAGTGTTCCAATTTCTAAAGTATTCAACTTCTTACAACTTATTTTTCAATCACTAGTTAAGATATATTACTTTTATAATATTTGATAATTCTATAAAAGCTACTTTTGTTATGATACTATTACTACTTTTACTAAGATCTAATTGCTTACTTTGCTAGTATCATATTGCTGTATTTACTATGATCAGATTGTTAGTTTAGCTTGAATCCAATTATTAGTTTAGCTCAATCATTTTGCTAACTTTGCTATGATTATATTGCTTGTTTTATTATCTAATATTAATGAATAAAATCTCTCCTAGCTAGTGTTCAATAAGATATTAATAAATATTATTCAATGATATTATAATATGAATTATCCAATCAATGATAAGATAATTAATATACTAAAAGTTCATATTGCTACCGTTTCTAGTTCTTATATATGAGAATATTTAGAAATAGTTAACAGTGACTGTGTTCACGGTAGATTTTAAATAAGAAAAATATAATTGACGAAAGTGAATGGTTAATAATAATAAATTTAACAAGAATATGAATATAAGTTGGATATTTAAATGTGTTTGAATAATAATACAATACTAAAACTAAATATACACTATTAATCCAAGTTAGAAAGTGTATTAACAAGATAAAAAACAATTTAACGACAAGTAAAAACAACAAAAGTAAAACAAAGATAAAACAAAAGAAAACAAAAGAAAAACAATAGAAAAATAAAACATAAACAAACAAAAATAAAGCGAACAAAAGAAACAAACAAGAAAAGTGAAAAAGACAAGACAAAGTTAAAACCAGGATATAATCTTCTTAGTTTATTTCAAGTCAATTCTCATGTTACATATATAGCGAATTTAAGTTACGCTGATTTACATGTTATTTACATATATAGATTACAAAGTAAAATTAATAAAAGTAAAAATCTACAACATGTTGGAACACGATAACTATTGTATAATATTAAAAAGAGATTTGTGTAAAATCTATGTGTTACTAATTAAATTAATGTAACAAGACATAAAAATGAAGTACCAATAAAATTAAAAATATAAAATGATGTGATAATAATATGAATTGATTGGTAAATTAAATAATGATGGAATCTAGACTAAAATAATGTGATAATAATTGGATAAAAATATAAATTAATACTATTGGATAAAAATATAAGAAATATAGAAAAGTAAAAATAAAAGAAAAAGTCTAGATGGATATTACTGCGCTAAAAATATAATGTAATATAGTTGATGAAAGATAGAATGGTAACAATACGCAAAAGCTCAAAACGGTAACAATATCACGAAATCTTAAATGATGATCTTTTAGGAATAATCCAGTGATATGAAATTAATAAAAATGATGTTGTCTTTCTACAAGACAATGATCTGAAACACACAGCAAAATCTACGTATGAATGATTTGATAATAATGATATCTGTTTGCTCAATTGGCCTGCCCAATCACCTGATCTTAACCCAATTGAGCATCTTTGGAATGAAATAGATCATTGTTTGAGAATGTCATCAACTGGTATTCATACTCAAGATTAATTGTGGGATGCGATACAAAAAATTTGGATCAAAATTGATAATGCGTTTTTAATGAAGCTAATTGAAAGTATGAAGGAACGCATTCAAGATGTAATTAATGTGAAGAATGATTATACTAGATGGTAATTAAAATTGGAGATTAAATTTTCATAAATTTATTTAGTTTAGTGAGTAATCTCGATTTTATTTTTATCAAAACAATCAAAAGAAATGGATCACTTGATTTGGTGTAAAATGTGCTTTATTTTTTTTTAAATGTAGAATATGGAAAATAAATATGATACAATGTTTTGTCCATATATAGGCATTATAATGAACCTATTTATATATTGATTGATATTGTATATAAAACGTTATTAAATCGTGAAATTTATCGTCCAGGTGATGCAATACTTTTGAGCGCCACTGTAAATGCACATATATGTTGAGTCTTAATCCCAGGGGTACCATATACGAAGAGTCGATAGTCACAAGAGATTATACTTCCGCTATGGTCACTCCATATTTACAAATGAATAAGCTACTATGAATCTAAATTACATTTTTCATTTTTAAGCTTTTTTTGTTGCCTGGACGTGCCTTATTATGCTGCAATCGAGCAAGCACCCTCAAATTATGTGCATTACTGACTCTTGAGCTTCGCTTTGAATTCCGAAATGTTTGAAACTCTTTATCAGTATCTCCTACCAGGACCTAGAATAGGAGGTAAAATTACTAAAAATCAATTCTACGTCGGCCTAAGGTTCTGGGACTTACCGCCCATGTAATGACCGCGCGGAAAAGAAAGGGAAACAAATTCATTTCCGCCAGATCTACTGGAAGCTCACAGACTTCAATCTCAAAAATTCTGTAAAAATCTAAAAAAAGTTTCGGTAACAATGCAATATATTATGTAACGCTGTATACAGTACTTACTCAGGTAATCCAAAAAATAAAAACGCAGACTTGTCTCGAAACTTTGAACCATGAAGGTTCGAAAGAATGTCGGCAGAGCCCTTTTCTGCTTGACTTCTTGAATTACTAAAAAGTTAATCATGTCTTTTGCGGCGCGCGCATTTTGGATGAAATCTTCTGTTTCTTTCCCGTTCTCAGTATCGTAAGGTTTGCTCCCTTCAACCACACATATTTCGTAAGGCTTCTGGTTTGACGTGTAGGCGATACCGTCGGCTCTATCTGCATTTCCCGATTGTTCAGTAATTGATTTTCGGTATGCAGATGCCTCTATCGCTTTATCGCCGCTAACAGAGTACAAAAAGAATAAGTTGTTTAGGTACAAATGCAATCGGAAAGATTTCACTTACGGTCTATATCGCAGGTTTGCGAATCTTGCAAGCGCCTTTTTTAAAATAGGATGGACGAATCCTGTCATGTACTCCTCTTCTTCCATATTTCTATCCTTTATTGGGTTTTCAGACCCCATAGCAAAAGCATCAAACCTGAAAGCATAGAAAGACCACGTTAGAATATCCCCTTAAGAGAAATGCAGTGCAGCTACCTACCAGATAGGAAGAACTTCAAACATGAACCTCTTTATATTTTTAATAAATGGATCATGTTCTGGATCCAGCAATTTCTCAATTTCGTCATACCAATGCTGACAAGTTAGATTCTATTAAAAAATGAAGAGTGATAAGTCGGATTTATGATAATCATTATTATTGTTTCTTTTATGATAATCCGCACCTTGGAAAAAAATTCAAGAAGAAAATTGAAAGCTGCTTCGGGGAATATCCCATCAATAGGATTGAGGATACATTCAAGCAATTTGCTGTAATCGCTTTCATTTGTATAGGAGAGGACAAATTCCGAAGACGGCCTAAGATCCATTATACCGTTGTTTGTCAACAAGTTCTCCGATTCCTGACAATATGTTTGAAAGGCGTCAAGAAGGTTTTTCATCTCTAGTGGATTTTCTTGTGCTTCATCTAAAAGATTCCTCGCGAAAAGGGCTTGATTGTCGATGTCTTCCTTTAAATCGGGTGTAAAGTAAGTATAATGTATATTTCTCCTCTTGTCGAAAATCCAAATAGGCCAAACTAAAGCTACGGAACCAATCCATTATGCCCATTAATAAATAAAACGTTTAGAAACGCTAACCTCGTCGTCTTCGTGTTTTCTCTTTCGGTCTGAGTCTTCGGGGACCCGCTCATTCTCTGCGCTGTGTTCGTCCTGCGTACAAGAATCCTTGAGATCACTATCGCCTTCCACCAACTGCGAAGCGCATCAATAAACATATAAAATTGATTAGCATCATTATCAATTTAAGAGTGAGTGTATGCAATAAACTACCTCATGAATTTCCTCCAACGATTCCGTCTCTTCAAATTCTCGCTTAGAAGGTGACGCAAGGGATGTCTTTTCTTGATTCGATTTGACGAAAAGCTTCTGTGCTTCATCAGCTGTAGCAAACTTCGCGGCATTCTTAATCATTTCCTAGATTGTTTAAAGGCGTAAACATTCATGTCAAAGTTCCAAGCATGTTAAAGGCGGTATACACCTCGCTGATTCGACTGTTTACGGCTAACTTTGCCAATTTCTGAGTTTGCCAAAATTCTATGACTCTATCATCGTTGCGCTAAATTAAACAAAAAAGGTGGAAATAATTAGAGTATACATTCATCACTATAGTTTCTTTGAAATGACAACCGCCTTGATTACGTCTAACCGCGCATGGATGATTGGACTGAAATGTCAGAATCATAACACGCTTCCCACTTCAGGCAATCCGCAGTATTGCCCTGTGCGATAAAATCGCTCAACCGCAGTCGCAGGGTGTGGCTAGACAGCTCCAACAAAACGACTAGTGCATGCAGGGCTGGATTCTTCAAGAATCAGAGCCCAACACTCTTCTTCCCCAGCCAGATAAACCGCAGAAATATCCGACATTCGACCGCAGTCGCGGGGCGTAGCACAAATCCCTCTGTTCGGAGCTTACTTAAAAAACAATACACAGACCTTGAGATAGTTGAGGATGAATGATGCTTTGCTATATTTGCGGCCTTTCGGAAGTGCTTTCACGAGTACATTGAGTTCGCTTGCTAGGGTAGAGTGAGATTGTTGGGGCGTGCAGGAAGGGAATTTGCTAATAAAAAAAAGGTCCCAATCAATGACATCCCACAAATTAGGATCTTTTTCCCAGTAAGCTACAGGAAAAGAGAGCGTAAGCCAGTTTTCACTCAATCTTATAAATTGCCAAAACGATATAGGACGCGTTTGTGTGTGTCCACAATAGAAACTTACAGGGATAGTGAAGGGAACCTTTAAGCGCTTCGGACAATGGGGCTTGGCGCATTATAAAAGTTGAGAAACGACGAGAATTGATCAAGGCGCGTCTGTTTGTTGTGAAAGTTTTTTGTTTTAGTACCCTAGCTACGGCAAAAAAAAAGTGGCAGATCACGTGATTCCGACCTGATGCCGAGCTGATCCGAATATTCTGTCCGTCACCGAATTGATGAACAAAAAAATTATATATATATATATTATAATAAGTACATGT